CTGGGAAGATGGCTCAGTGGTAGAGTGCTTGCCTTGCATGCATGAGGCCCTGGGTTCAATTCCTCAGCACCACATAAGCAAAAAGAAAAAGCCAGAAGTGGTGCTGTGGCTCAAGTGGTAGAGCGATAGCCTTGAGCTGAAGAGCTGAGGGACGCCGCCCAGGCCCAGAGTTCAGGCCCCACGACCGGACGCCCCCCCAAAAATAAGGTGCTTCGTATGGAGGTACCTCAAAAACTCCACATAGAGCTCTCTTATGACCCAGCAATCCCCCTTTTGGGCATTTACCCAAACGATCACAAACAAGGCCATACTAAGGCTACCAGCACAACTATGTTTATCACAGCATTATTTACCATAGCCAAGATATGGAACCAACCCAGATGCCCCTCAGTAGATGAATGGATCAAGAAAATGTGATATATATATACACGCATACAATGGAATTCTATGCTTCCATCAGAAAGAATGACATTGCTCCATTTGTTAGGAAATGGAAAGACTTGGAAAAAATTATATTAAGTATAGTAAGCCAGCCCCAAAGAAACATATGTCCCATGGTTCCCCTTATTTGCAATAACTAGTACATGTGTAGGACAAGGAGAAAGGTCAAAAGGTATGTACACATGACTATATAAGATGATATTAAGATAGGGACACAAATATCTTTTTTCTTTCTTGCTATTGTTTCTAATGTATTTATAATGTACCATGTGATTTTTGTTTCTTTGTGTATTTCTCCCCCACCATATAACCATTTTCACTGTATTTGATTCTGGTGCCCTGCATCTTGTGTATACACTTGTCTAATTTGGGGAGGGGAAGGGAAAAAACAAAACGCTTCAATAAGGATACAGGTTGACCCATTGTAACAGTGTACAAAACACTATGTTGAACGAACTTTGGGAGTGTGGGGGTGGGGGAGTTGTGGAGGTGGGATGGAAGGGATAGGGGAAAAATGAAGGAGGCAACAATGCTCAATAAGAAATATACTCATTACCTTACTGATGTAATTGTAACCCCTCTGTATAGTATACTTACAATAGAAAACATACCAAAAAAAAGTACAATAACAGAAAAAAAGGAAAAGAGAACAAAAGTAACAAAAAAAATAAGGTGCTTCACTGAGAAGGATATATTGTTTGTGTTACCTCTTCTCAGTTGGGCACATATAAGTTGTTTTTTTTTTAATATGGGGACTCCTTAAAAATGGCAGAATAATCTGAAGTGAAACTTGTTATGGAAGTGTTTTATATTAAGCCAGTCTCCTTGGCATTTTAATTAAACCCTGTATTTTATGTAATTATCTTTCCTTAAGTAGTAATTCACAAATTGTTTCTTGCCTCCAGAGGTGGTGATGTGCCTGGCTTTGTTCTAATTGGAGAGGTCAGGTTAGGTTACAACCAGGAAGAGACAAAAGCCCTACTCTTCAAATTTGCATTTTTGAGAAGTGACAGGAAATCCACAGATAAACACTAAACAGAACATGAGGTAGTTGTTTTTACCACAGTACATGAGTAATACAGTAGTATTCAAGCAGTGTAGGGCAGCAGCAAAGCAAGTAAATTGGTGGCGTGTTGATCAGGTAGGTATATGTGGTATTATTGATGGCCTGAACATGGTGGCTGAAGTCTTTGCTAAGGGGACCGACCCAGTTTGAGCAGAGAACTTAACATGGATGTACTTTCAGCTACTGCTTAAATATACTTATCAGAAGATTGATTTAAAAAAGGTATTATGTTGCATAAGCACAGGTTATTATTTGAAATAGAACTATATTTGAATTTGATGTTTTGTTAGACATGGTGAATTTGATTTCTGATCACTACTCTTCCTAAGGGTAGCAGACAGTTTTTGTTTTGCTTACTTTGGAGAATTTACATTCTTCTTATCAACCAGAGGCTGCATGGCTAGTGGTATGTTGTGATGTGGAGGTGAGGGGTACGGGCAGGGTTAGTGCAGGTGTGTCTGGGCCTCAAGAACAGGTGCAGGGGGCTGTCACACTGTTCTTACTGATCTCTTATGGATTTGGGGTTATTTTTCACTAATTTTATGTTTTACCACTCGAGTGAAGAGCTACAAAGTAAAGGACATTACAATAATCCTTTAAATCTGTTCAAATACTGTTGAATAACTAGGCTGCTGAATACAAAAAATGGACTATCAGATTCGGTTTAGGTGATTGGATATGAAATATTTATGTTTCAATTGGGAAAATTGCAAGTGTTATTTGGATGTATTGAGGACAGAGAGAGAGAGAGAGAGAGGAGAGAGAGAATATTCATTTTACCACTACTCTCTTTGCTTTAAATTCCTAGATTGGAAATTTAAAAGATAATTTCCTCCTTTGAGCAAATTGAATATTGGAGGGAAATTTGTGAATAGAGTTACACAGAGAAAGTTTTAATCACTACTTACATCAGAATTTTCTTTAATGTTTAGTAAGTTAGTCAATTGTGAAGATGTTGTCCAGGTCTCACAGGCTAAAGAGGTGTTTGGCCTTCACAGGAAATCAGTTGTCAACATGCAGACTTGCTGAATCTTGATCCAGCTGCCATTCGTGCCAGCTGCCTGGCCAGTCTGCAGCAGCCTGGGGGTATCTGCCTTCTTGAGCAAGCACTGCTCCAGCTGATGCCTCCAGAGCGCCCCACCAAACGCATCCGGGGCAAGTCTCAGCTTCCTCCCGATGTTCTCCGGTGGATGGAACTTGCCAGGTAAGCTGTGAGGGCCACTCAGGAGAGCGGTGAGTCCAACCAAAGTGACAGAAAAACACACAAGCAGATGTGGCGCCATTTAGCAGAAGATGAACCAATGAAATTGGTTATAACCCTGTCTGAAAATTTTAAAAATCTGCTGAGGCTGAATACAGCTCTAGTTACCCTGAGAAGGAATGTGTCCAATGAAAGATTACACCTATTAATTCCTTTTGTTATGCACTTTTCTGAACTTTTAAGGGTGGCAGAAATGATAATTCTTAATGTTTTGTTTTCTCTAGTGTGGCTAAACAGATCACCTACTGTTTTCAGCAGGATTCAATATTGTAGCAATACTTTTAGTGACCTTGTTCAGGCCTAATTATGTAAAAGGATCTTAGGTCAGCATTGAAGTTTATTTTGAACAGTTTTACAATGATTTAGATCCTTAGGTTCTAAGAGAAGAGGTAGTAAGAGTAAGGATTGATTTGAAAGGCAGGCATGGAGGGGAACGAGAGATGGAGGAGGCATTGATGACAGACTCATACATGATGTGTCCTATAGGAAATATTTTGTTTTTTTTTCTAGTCGTGGGATTTGAGCTCTGGGCTTGGGCTCTGTCCCTGAGATTTTCAGCCCAAGGCTAGTGCTCTGCTACTTGAGCCACAGGGACACCTCCAGTTTTCTGGTGGCTTATTGGAGATAAGAGTCTCACAGACTTTCCTGCCTGGGCTGGCTTTGAACTGCAGTCCTTAGATCTCAGCCCCCTGAGTAGCTAGGATGACATCAGTGACTGGCATTTTTATACATAACCAGAACATGAAGTAGAGGGGTGAGATATATGCTAAGAGAGAAGAGTCACAAAATGAGGACAAATTGGAGAGTAACTCAGAGCTAGTGAAAAACCTATATCCTGTATTTGCTGGAAAATAAAGCATAGAACTTGTGGTTTGTTTTGTTTGTTCATTAGGCAGGTGTTCAGCCACTGAGCCTTCCCTTCAGCCCTTTTTGTTTTAATTAATTTCAGATGGGATTTTGTACTTTTTGCCTGGGACTGGACTCAATCCTCAATCCTCCCCCCTATGCCTCCCAAGTGGCTGAGATTACAGGTTATCATAATAACATCCAGTTTATTTATTGAGATGAGGTCTAATTTTTTTATGTAGGATGGCCTTGAACCATGATCCTATTTTCTTTCCTCCCATGTAGCTGAGATTACAGGCATATAGTACCATGCTCTGTTGTAATATACAAGTTTTAACTTGTGAACATAATATAAAGTTTTCTTTTTCTATATCTTGGTTACTGTTATACCTGTAATCAAAGTGCGAGGTGACCAGGGTAGGGTTTCTATAGAGATCTCTTTTCTGTTAGTAGCTCTTCTCTACTCCTCAACTCTTGCCTGTGTGCTGCTGTACCACCAACCACCTGTCAGCCCTGCCTCTGGTTTGTGTTCTTTGATCCCTATGATCTGGTCAATAACAGAGATATCTGTGAGATTTCTGTTTAAATTTGTAATCGGTAGGCTGGTACAGATTCTGCAGCTTCTTTGATGGTAATACAAAAACCAGGAAATATAACCAAGGAAAAGGAGTCCTTGGATGATTGGTCAATGACTACAGTTTTAGGAAAAGATGGCTTTGGGGTTAAGAGTTGAGGATGGGAAAAACAATTCCAACAGAATGGGAATAAACTTAATAAATATTAACTGGAGATTTTCAGTAAGGGAAGCTTGCTTGACAAGATCTCAAATATATATATAGAGAGAGAAAGAGATAGATATAGAATATCTATCTATCTCTATATATATTTTAGATAGTCTCACTGTGTATGTAGTCTAGACTATTTTCAAATGTATGGTTTTCAAATGTATGTAGTCTAGACTATTTTCAAATGTATGAGTGCTGGAATTATAGGCATATAATACCATGCCTGAAAAAACAGATTTTTACTAAGAGTTGAAGTTTAAAAAAAATGGCATTGGTGGGGTAAAAGTTGCTGTTTATTTGGTTCTTGCTTCATAAGAATTCTAAATGTGTCATCTGCAGAAGTTTATTTTATGAAGCAATTTGTACACTATGAGCTCTTGGCTCTTCAGGTTTCTTTTTTAAGGTAAGTTAGAATACCTTTTGCTTACTGTATGAATAAAACAGTCAAATCTAGGGATAACGTCAAAATAGTTCTAGCAAAATAAAAGTGACACTTTAAATGTATTCTTTTTTAAATTGTGTGGCATCCTATTTAAGTTCAATTTCATTAGTGTGAGTACTTTTGAACTATTGGCATGTTCACTGTTTGGACCTATCTCCATTTGTTTCATAGGCTGTATAGATCGATTGGAGAGTATGACGTACTCCGTGGGATTTTTAGCACTGAGATAGGAACAAAAAAGGACAGTCAGAATGCGTTATTAGCCGAAGCCAGAAGTGATTATTCTGGAGCTGCTAAACAGTACAATGAGGTGAGTAGTCTTTAGCCAGTATGTCACTTGCTTAAACAGTTGGATTCTCTTCATGAAAAATGGTTAGCTTATTCCATATTGCTAACAGAGGTTAACAGTTACCATATGTGGTACCAAAACAAGACATGTGACATGGTATCTCTATGCCTTTTTAAGAAAACATGGAATAGAAGACAAACTATTTCATAAATTTCCAAGTACCATAAAACTGTTTCTTGTTAGTTTCATGTCTATTTTGTTACAGTATCTGTTTGAAAATTGTTACTTTTAGTAAGTAAGAAATTTCTGAGGAAGTAAGAAGAATTTGAGATCATAATTCTCTTTGGTTCTGTACATTTTGCTGAGTTGCCAGTGGCCAGAATTTGACCTGTGAGGCTGTTGAATGAGCAACCACAGTTTTAAAATTATTTGCAGTGTTCTACAGGTGTTCTGTGTTTTAACTTTTAGTCTAGGACTTGTTAAAAAAGTAACCCAGTTTTAAGGATTGCTTACTGGCTTACTGATAAATTTCTCAATGAAATCACTTACTCAGGATTAGGGTTTTATAAGTATTTGTTCCTATAACATCTCCTTTTTTCTTTCTTTTTATATACATGATTACGCGGAATACTCTTTCCCTCCTTTTTTACATGGTTTGTTTGTATTATTTTCCACTCTGTGAAATGATCCATTAACCTTGCTCTGCCAGGCTCTCAATAAACAAGAGTGGGAAGATGGTGAGCCCACGGAGGCTGAGAAGGACTTTTGGGAAATGGCAGCCCTCGACTGCTACAACCACCTCTCAGAGTGGAAATCACTTGAGTACTGCTCTACAGCCAGTGTAGACAGTGAGAGCCCTCCCGACCTAAGTAAAATCTGGAGTGAAGCGTTTTATCAGGTGGGTAGAATTGTCTTTAGGTCACTGAAACCAATAGTTTAGATTGGTCCAGTATCTTTGATTTAGTAAAATTGTATAAAGATACTTTAAAACAGGCAGTAGTTTTGAAGCATTTGAATATTCAAGTAGCTTGACTCTGTGGTCATACTTAATAGTGTTAAATCTCATCGTTTTAAAGTGAGTGTTAACATCCCTGATGTAACCACATGGAAAGATACTTTCTGTTGCCTTTTGTACTACAGAGAAATCACTTGGCCTCTCTGGCCATCCCAGGAAATGATTTCTGGCCCCTCATGCCTGCCATTACCTTGACAGTTTGTAGCCTACATGCTAGTATCTTCAGCTAAGAGTAGGTCCTTTCTTTCTTTCTTTTTTTTGTAGTACTGGGATTTGAATTTAGGACTTATACTTGCTAGGCAGTTGTTCTATCACTAAGCCATGACTGGTTATTTTAAGATAGGGTCTCACTTTGTGCCCTGGCATGCACTTAAACTATAATACTCTTATTTTTGTTTCCCGCAGTAGCCTAGGTGACATGTGTATACATGTGTATCCATCCAGCGTTTTCCTGCAAAGTGGAGTTTAGTGGACTTTTCTGCCTGAGCTAGCCTGTCACTGCAGTGTTCTTAGCCTCCTATGCAATTCAGATGACAGGTGTGCACCATTATCCTCAGCTATTGGCTGAAATGGAAGCTTACAAAATTATTTTCCTCAGACTGGCCTTGAATCATGATCCTCCCTATCTCCGCCTCCCAAATAACTAGGATTATAGGTTTAAGCCACTAGTGCCTGGCTAAGATCCCATTTAAATTTTTTTTGATAGAACATATTCCTGAAAAGTTTGATGGTTATAAAAGAAGCCATATTAGGTTAATTTTATTTTGAAATGTTGACCTGAAAAATTATCCCAAAGGATAAGTAGAAATTAATGATCGGACAATTTTTATGTTCCTCAGGAGACCTATCTACCGTACATGATTCGCAGCAAGCTGAAACTCCTGCTTCGAGGAGAGGGAGACCAGTCCTTGCTGACGTTTATGGATCAGGCCATGCGCAAGGAGCTGCAGCAGCTTCTCCTAGAGGTTCAGTACAGTCAGGAGTTGAGTCTTCTCTACATATTGCAAGATGATGTTGACAGGGCCAAATATTATATTGAAAATGGCATTCAGATTTTTATGCAGGTAATACAAATAGATCTGTCTGAAATATACCATTTTTATGGAAATTTTAAAAGTCAGTAAACTCATAAAAAATGAATAGGCCCAAGTTTGTATGTATCACTGTATACCACCCATTTCCTTCTTTTGCCCTTAAGTATTTTCACTGTTTTTATCTTTAATGTCTTTTTAAATTGTATTTTTTTTTCCATTGTAAAAGTTCCATTGTGGGTTTTTCTTTCTTTGGGTTTTCTCTTTTCCACACGGTTAAAGAAGTCTCAGTCTAGCCTTTTACCTGTAAAAGTTCGATGGCTTTGTGGAGAAGAACACGGATTGATCCTTCTTACTTTCCTGAGTCTTCTGCTTACCTATTGTGAGGGAGAATCATGTGTAAAGTCTACCACCAATATTTTATCACTGGCATATGTATCGTAGATACAAATGTATACATTATTTTCATCATTTCAAAGTGGCTTCTATGCTTGGAAGTTTTTTTTTTTAATTT